GAAATGAAATAAACGTCACCGTGAAGAAAACTACATATATAAAATGTATTACAGAAATTAGAAAACCAATAAGTGATTCAGAGCAGAAGAAGCAACAGCAGGAGCAGGTCTCTCGTCTCATCTCATCTAGGCGTGATGGTGGGAATCACTCCACTAATAAGGTCACTTACCAGAAATATCTGAGGATGTGTAAGGATTCTTCACCACAGAAGATGACGAAGGTGGAGTACTAGATATCTTTTCTGGATCAGTTTCAATGGATTCTGCCAGAAAGGTCTCAGACTCCGGCATCATCAGCCTTATGGCTTCCAGTGTTCGGACCACCTCTGCCATTGAATGTCTTGAATCTGTTTCGTCTTGGCAACATTTAATGGCCAAATTTATGAACTTCTCCACGCATTCAGAGGGATAAGAACCCATTCTTCCATCAATAACCGAGAATATCATTCCAGATTGATGTGCAATATTAACCTGGTGTATTTAAATTAACAAGTTAATTACTAAGCGCTTTTTCCAGGCCATGCTCCACGCACAAGAATTTAAAGCTACCAAAGGACAAGGAAAGCTATTACCTCTCGAAAAAGGTTTTTGCCATGGGTGATTGGCTGCATCCCTGTCAAAAGCTCTAGAAACACGACATCAAGGCTATATACATCACTCTTGTTTGTCAACTTATGTGTTAAGAAGCACTCTGGATCAAGGTAACCCTACATACACAATAAAACAATGAGATGCCAGCTACAGTTAACTCATGCACATTGTCACACTCTATCTACCCACGGTTCACCTAATTTGAATCCCTTCTCTTTCACTGCAGATATTAAAAAATATATATATACAATAGCTGCTAATTTCATTTAAGTGACAAACTTTACAGGTGTCCCCTTTACAACAGTGGATACATGAGCAGGTGCTGCCCCTTCAATATCTGGAACCGAAGCAAGTCTTGAAAGTCCAAAATCGGCAACCTGGTGATGAATTTGGAATCCAACAATATGTTGCTGGCCTTGATATCCCGATGAAATATAGGAGGATCAGCTTCTGTGTGTAGGTAGAGGATTCCCCTGGATGAACCAATGGCAATTCTCAACCTAATTGCAAAATCCAGAGGTTCTTTATTCTTTCCTGTGTTACCATAGACATGCAACATTATAGTAAGGACATGATATTTGCATATAGAATTTGAGGCGAAAGAAAACGATGATTTTGGATTACTAGTGTAAAATGCAAATTCAACTGAAGAATGCAAGGTGTACCTGATAGATGATCCTGCAGGGCGCCATTGGCCATATACTCATACACCAACACCTGTTGACAGTAATGAATGTGAAGCTTTTTGCCAGATGATAAGCAATGTAATTGCATCATTTCCTTTTTATCCCTTCCTTTAAAAAATAAAAAAAATAATAAAAAAATAAAGAGAAAAAGTACCTCTTCACCTTCTTCATCGCAATAACCAAGCAAAGAAACAAGGTTCCGATGATGTAACCTTGACAACAACCTTATTTCAATTGGGAACTCCTTTTCACCCTGTAACAACCCCTCTTGTGCACATTTTTTGGCCGCAATAGTGCCATCAGCCAGAGTGCCTTTATAAACCTTTCGGACCCACCTTGGCCAATTTGAGCAGAGCTATCAAAATTGTTTGTTGCTGAGGCTAATTCTCCACATGTGAAACTCTTCATACCACCAATTTTTAATGAGGCTCTGGACGTTGTAAAACAATACATGTCTAAATGTTAAAACAAAAATAACTTAGAGCTGTTAAAAAGCATGTGCCCTTTTCTTGTAACATCCCAACACAGGTAGTTTCCAGACACTGCTGTAGATTCTAGCCAAATTTTCTCTCATAATAGATTTTCTATTCATGGGTTGACAAGTCTTTGACTAAATTAACTCTTGAAATCATTTCACTAATTTATAAAGAGCATTCTTAAGCCCAAAATGTAACTTGCCAGCATATAATCATAAGTTTCAAAGCAGATTTTATATGCATACAATCCACAAGCTTGGCCTGATTTAGGTCCAGTCCTAGAGCTTAATTACACATAACAGCATATTTACATTGTCAACAAAAGGTACAGTTCTGTTTTTCAAGTAGAAAACTGAGTTTTGTACACAAAAGAACTTTTAGATGACCAGCTTGTCTACAACTGTGAGCCGTGACAAGGTTTTGGTTAGAGAATAAGTTTGTATTACCAACTCAGCTGCTAAGCTGTGTCTTTGGCTGGTTGAAGTACTCCTGGGCTTCCCAAGTATTTATAAGCTGCTATATAACACACTAACCTGTAACAACAAGGAAAAACATTATTTCCATGAGCTGTAAGGCTCAATAAGTAACAAATAGCCTAACAAACTATAAATATTCAATTTAATCAAACCAGTAACTGTTCTCAGCAGTATTCAATGTAGTTTCCTGCACATTCAATGATAAAAATCATAAAATTGTACTAGAAGCCTGTCCCATCTTCCAGACATTAGGACAGATTCTGTTTTATCAATAGAAACACAGTTAAACTTAGCAACGTAACTTTATGCATGTCTAAATGTTTTCAAGAGAATGCAAATTACTTCCATGGATTTCTTGGGGGTGTACATCCCACCTTACAAATGGCCCAGCCATAATTTCCATGATTCACAAAGGATCTAATAACATCTCTTCACACTCCCAGTCCAACTGGATTTCATATTCCTAGTCCAACTGGGTTTAATACTCCCAGTCCAACTGGGTTTCATATTACACGAACACTATTTCAACTCACACAATCACCAAACTGCATTGTCATGTGGAAAACTGCAGCTAGCACATCTTTATAATGCATTCTGCCAACAATTAATTCACCAGAAAAATCCCACAAGAACACAGAAAATGCAGAAGTTACCAAGACCATTTCAAAGGTAAATTAACAGTAAGTTTCCACCTCCTTTGTATGTTTCTAAATTCTTGTGTAGAGATAAAATCTAAAAATCCATACTTAAATTTCTGCTTAAACTTCAAAGAATTCAATCTAGCTTAATTTCATTAAGCTTAAAAGTTACTTACCTCAGGTTAAATGAGGTTGGACCCAAAACTCCTCCAAAACTCTCAGTTTTGTTGCTGCCGTTGCTGCCATTGCTGCAAGGCCAACACTCTTTCTCTATTTCTGTTTTGCTCATCTGGTGCCAGAACAG